TGTATGTTCACGGAAAACGAATTGAAAATTGTTCCCTTTTTTCGATATCTTTCTTTTAAGACCAATTTTTCCCTGGCTCTTTTTAACATTTCCGAGAGAATTAATATACAGAGTGTACTATAATATGTGTAGGTAACTTCAGCGATGGAAATAATAAAGAAAAAAGTTCATGTTTCTCTATTCCAGTAATTTTTTCGACAAATTGAGCTCTTTTGGAGGTTGACATTTCGAACAAGTTGTTTGAAAACAGGCGAACAATGATAGCATACAAAAACGATTGCAACTGGGAAACGAGATCAGATAGGACAAACGTTTACCTGAAATTTTTTTATTATTTTTGTATGCTGAATCCTCGTATGCTAACATTCTGTATAAAACGAAATACATCGTTTCATTTTTAATTACCAAATATAAAATGAGTAACAATTCAATGCAACGATACCATAAATATATTATAGAAAAAATTTGTAGATCGAGTATCTTTCTCGCAACTAAACATTCTAACAGAAAAGTACGAATTTTTAATATATTATCTAGACAAATGAATGTTCCTGAAAACTAATTATGCAGATAAATTCATCATAGAGAAATACACAATCTCTACAAGTAAACTATTCTTCTATCTTTAATAGTTTCCAAGAATTTCGACCAAATACATATGTTTCAAAACCTAAACATTGAGGGCTATTTTTACCCCTTCAAAATAAACGATGGCGAATAAAAAAAAATACGCGTCAAATATTTTCTCGAAAACCACATCACACGTAAATTTCCCAAAAATCAGCGAACAACACTCGACATTCCCGATCAATAAGAAACACCTCAAGTGTCTGACCACTCCCGGACCAAATCTACTAACTCGCGGTAAACGAAACGCACCGGGTATCCCGCTCAAGTTTCATCAATTCCGGCGCTCATTCCGTCACACGTACGCAATCACCCCGTATCTCTTAACAGAAATCTCCTGCACCTCGGACAACTTCCACTCAGCCCCACGCGATACATGCCCACTAATAAAATCAACTCCCGTCACGTCGTTGGAAATTACTTTCACGCAAGTTCCGTCCGTGAAACAACAAGGCCTCGTCGCGTGGCCATACAACCGGCATTCAAGATAACACACTCACTCGCTCTCTCTCCCATTCTCCTGCAAATAGAGACGGGAGAGTACGAACGGAAAGGTGGCGGCGGTTGCAAGCTGGTTAATAATAATTCGCTGTAATTGCTGGCAATCGTCGTTTACACTTCTTCACGTGGCCCGGTTAATTCACGGTTTATAATTAACCAACCCTCTTGGATAGCAATCACGCGCAGGGGGAGGAAAGAGTTGGGCGGAGGGATACGCGCTCGTTACTGCCGGCGGGCCTGATAACAAGCTCGTCGAAACGAGGTAGCGATCGTAGGAAAAAAGAAGAGGGAAAAAAAGCGGGGCGAGGTATATGCAGCGGTTTGTTCTCGTTGTTTCATTATCGTTATTGCCGAAATCCGGCCGCGCGAACCGCGATATTTAATGGCGTTGAGTAATATCGCGGAGAGCGGTGTAACCTTTCAGCCGGCCGCCGCCACGGATTTATCGCGGCCGCGTGCGAGTGTCGCGAGCGTAATTCGACGGGAGAGTGTAATTAACGCGGGCTACCCCCGCCGCGGGGAATGATTTCCCGCGAACGGAAACGGTTGCAGCTTGCGCTCGTCGAATACTTAAGTAGTGAGAGCGAGTTATGATAGATTAGGCGCTTCGGTGATTTAATCAAACTGCTTGGGATCTTTGGGATGAGACTTTGTCAGCACGTTGACTACCACGGTGGTCACCTGTGGACCGGAGAGCTTCAAATGGTCGGCAACACAGAGCTCGCGGGCAACCAAGTGCCCGCCAAGCATTTTTAACCATCGCTCAGCCAATGCCGGGTCATTTTTGACCCATGTCTTAACGTCTGCTCGTTCGCTGGGCTCGATCTTGTCGCTGTAACATAAGCAGATGACCGCGTGGAGAGTTCTAACGTCTTTAGCCAGACAGTATTGTATGCAACAGCGAGAAGTAAAGATCGAAGAAGCTGAATAACAGCGTAAATATGTTCGAGATGCTACAAATTCATAGGAAACGTTATTGACATGTTATTGTATATGACAAGCGACGTCTGTTACGCATGTGACAGCCTCGAGGACCAAGTGGCTATGAAACCGCGAGAAGTAAAGATCGAAGAAGCTGAATAACAGCGTAAATATGTTCGAGATGCTACAAATTCGTAGGAAACGTTATTGACATGTTATTGTATATGACAAGCGACGTCTGTTACGCATGTGACAGCCTCGAGGACCAAGTGGCGGTCGCCACATAAATATGAATTGAATTCAGATTACAACTTACCCTCCGGAAAAATTAAGGTGAAGT